CATTTGACCATTGGAGCAAGAGATTTGATGTTTGGTGATAACAGAAATGGTTCAGAATGGATAGGAAGGAAAGTGCATCCAGAACTGCTTACCAAGAAAATGCAAGTCACTCTGAGGTCAAGAAAGTGATTTAAAGAGAGGTAAGAGGTAGAAGTATAGTTAGAGATGAAGCTTGAATATTTTAAGAGTCCAGGAGTAGACCCTTTCTAAATCGTTTTAATAGTAGTTGTTTTTGTTGAGCAGGTATGCAGTTAACTAAAGTTAGGTGGAGAGTGAAGGTTATGTTTGAGAAGTTTAAGTTTAAATGTTGAAATGTCGAAATCCAGGGTAAGCTGGAAAAAGAAAATCTTGAAAGATACCAGATATTGTTGACTTAGGAGTAATTAGATTTTCAAAAAGGATTGTAGGAAGAAAAGTGGTGTAACAGATGCCATGTGCCTCAGAGAGAGATTTTGTTGAGTTTTAAAGGTTGGATTCAGATGAACAGTGACCAGTGGTAAGGAAATAGACCTGCTACACAGAGGCCAGAACTGTTCTTAATTTTCAAGATTTCTTTTCTTTTGGGAATATTCTCTCCTATTTCTTAAATATACACATTTTAGAATATCGTAACTATTTTACACAACAGCGTATTATTTCACATCACCTATATAATAGTGTTATATAAAAATGCTGTTTCAAGCCTTATTATCTTGAAGGTTTTGAAGTTCCTAGATAAAGCAACTCTTAAAAGAGTCAAGATTGTGTGCAGAATAAATTTTATATGGAGAGATTGGCTTCTTGAGAGTTTTAGAATATTAAAATACTTTTTAATAATTCAGAATATTAATACAGAATACAGAATGGATACTGAATACAGAATGGATAATATTATAATACAGAATATTAAAATACTGGTTCCTCAGTTTGAGTGTGTCTTTAAACAGTGTTTGCTTTCTGCTACAGTTACCATCCCTTTGCATATGATCTCTACTGTATTTTTATAAACAGCACAATTTGCTAGCTTTTGCCACTCAGGAGAGCTTAGTGTTGTTTGCCTGCCCTGGAGAGGTTTTTTTTTTATTTCATTGGTTGTGAATCACTTTTTATTTAAAATATCTTAGTTGATCCTCTTAAATTTTAAGATAAGCTGAACAGATATCCTCATTTAACAGATGTTAAACTGAGGCTACCCATGATTAGTGATACATTTTCCATAAATTCATGTAATGAAGACTTTTCCAACAAGGAGAGAGACATCATGTGCTCTGCTGCAGGGCCTTGCAGAGTCAGTTCTGTATTCTGACAAATCAAAGTGATTTCCTCAACACACTAACTATATACCACCTGAAGCATTCATTCCCCCATCTGCAGTTTGTCAGTTGGTTTAATCTTTCTTACATAAGACCAAACTCATTTTTCATTATAATATAGGAGGGGATATGTCTTATTGCCATGTACTGACCTTGCTAATGTAGTCTTAAGGTAGATTTTATTAGATAAATATGGTATATTTATTGTGGTATATTAGAGATGGAAGGGGGTCACATAGGTCATTTAACCTTATTTTATA